AGGATAACCTGATGCCCAGATAAGAAAAGACAAACTAGGGAATATTCATTGCCGTACAGTCACTTGAATGAAAACTATGGATAAATGCGCTATAGCGAAGCATTCTGCCTACACTGCTTGTTTATTGCAAAACGCGAATGGTTTTTACTTGAACTGGATAAAGTTTGGAATAGAATACCAGTTCATTTTTCCCATCGATAATTAAATAGGTAATGTAATGTCCTGTAGTAACGGTGATCATGGCAAGGAGTTCATATAGAGTAAAATGTAGCTTATCTACTTACACTCTCTTATCCCTCACAGCTCCCCTCACACCTCCCCTCACACCTCCCTTCACAGCCCTGCCTCAGCGTCACTCCCACGCAGCCATTCATTGTTCTCTCACAGTTGTATCTATTTTTTTATCTATGTTATTCAGTACGTTGTTGTGTTCTCATAGACTTCTATTGTTCTCCTATGATATTTTATAGTTTTTCATGTTATTCTTCAATTACCTGTTGATGGTGTTTTAATACATTTAAGAGTGATTTCTGTGGTAACATCAACAGGGACCCATATGTATCGAGAACCCAGTATTTGAATGCATTAACCCTTCTGCGTCTAGCTGTACATATCTGTCGCCTTTAACTAGGGTGATTTTTATTGACATTTGAAGCTCATTTGTCCAATTGGACAAATATATTGGCTTCAATTTCAGGCTGCATGCGATGCCCATAAATAAATTTCAGTGTTGTGGTATGAATGCAATGCAGTATTTTGCATTTGCAAGGTAGCTGGTCTCAAAAGGGTTAAAGACATTATCAAACATGTTTCGAACTCCCATGTTAACAATTCATGTCACATTTTCAGAACGTCCATACGCCTCACTAATATGCGTAGGCGTCAGACGAAGCCATAACAAAATATCAGCCTCCTATCATAGCGGGGAAAAGGCCCACGCCCACACACACACGTCAGTTGGATCACCGACAGGTCCAAGGGGAGCTTGTACACCCAAATCTTACTGGCCCAGGCACGCGCGTCGCGCACCGACGTACAAAAGCACAAACTGCAACCAAAAACCGACGCCTTCCTCAGCAGCCGCCCACGCAGCGCTCTCGAACTGCTCTTCTGTGAAGGAAAACTACGCAGACGCCGCATCGCTGAATTTCTTTTCCCGTTATTACTGCTGTCTCTTATACACATCTAGATGTGTATAAGAGACAGGGGTGAGTGTGAGGGAAGGTGGGGTGAGTGTGACGGAAGGTGGGGTGAGTGTGACGGAAGGTGGGGTGAGTGTGAGGGAAGGTGGGGTGAGTGTGAGGGAAGGTGGGGTGAGTGTGACGGAAGGTGGGGTGAGTGTGAGGGAAGGTGGGGTGAGTGTGAGGGAAGGTGG